CATAAATAGCCCTTGTGAATATCATTATACCCAAGAAACACACAACGAGCAGTTTTGGAAGACAGTTTGGTACGTTCGCGTTTTGGGAGTAGAACAAAGCATAAACACCCAAAAACACGAAGTCGAGAGTAACTAGGATGACGAGAGTAAAGAGCAAAAAATGGACTAGTATTCTTCAAAACTGGGGTGACCTGATATTAATTAGTCGAACTGCAGTAGCAACAGCTTCAGGCCAGAATTTATCAGGAACATGAGAAGCTAGTAACATAGCTCTCGTGAGTTCCATCACATGGCGATTTTTACGCTCTACTAGTCCATTTTGCTGCGATACCCCAGGGCAGGATTGCTGTGTTAAGACACCAAGAGACCGATACACATCATACAAAGGAAAGGAGCTAAATTCCCCACCAGGATCGGAACGAATAATTTTCACTGGGCGACCAAACTGAGTGTGAACCATTGTCAAAAACTCAGTGGCCACATTTTTAAGTTCAGATTTAAGACGAAGAAAATACACCCAGGTAAACCGAGTGGCATGATCTATGAAAAAGGCAAAATATCGGAAGCCACGACGTGAGATAGCTGGAGAAGGGCCCCAGAGATCAGTATGGATGAGATGAAAGGGTTCTGAAATGATGGTGGTACTGGGAGGATGAGATGAACTAATGGTTTTAGCTTCTACACAGCTTGTACAAGAATGTTTTGGCAAAGAACGAACATCACATTTATCAAGTAAAGACTGACGAAACATTTGTTCAAGACGACCAGAATGAGGATGACCAAGACGGGAGTGCCAAAGATCCCAAACATCATTATTCGACACACTTGAAAAACAAACAGAAGATGATGAATTCAACGGAAAAGACAAAGATTTTGACGGACTACCGACAAGCCTATGTAAATGACTACTGACATTCGACGAGGGATGGCACCCGTGTAGCTCCTCCAAATGAAAAAGTCTTCCCCGCTTACTCCCTTTTCCGATCTGCCTCCCCGTCTTCAAATCCTGTACAAGACATCCAGTTGGCGCAAACAACACAGAACAACCTTGCTCAGTAAGCTGACCCACAGATACTAAATTGGGAACCAAATTGGGAACATGAAAGGTATTGGGTAAAGACAAATTTTCATTAGTCATCATTCCCGATCCTTGTACCTTCAATGTTCCACCATTCGCAACACTCAAAGACATCTCATCAACAGGAACAAGATTCGTTAAACTAGCAGACTGAGATGTCATATGATTGAAACAGGCTGAATCAAGTAACCATGGAGAATTATTACCTGAGCTTTGGAAGGTGGCAAAGGCAGAACTGATGGCCGTGGGTAAAGATTTCTGGAGAGCAGCATTCACTAATTGCTCGACGGTGGCGGCTGTAATCGCCCCGCTGCCTGTACCGCTGCCATTTTCCAAGAGCACAGCCGAGTGAGCCGACCGATCAGCTGGCTGTCGCCACTGTTGCTCCGGGCGAGGTCCATTGCCGCGCGAAGAGCGCTCAAGGTATGAAGAAGCTCGGCCTCCCCCAGCACCAGGCGCACCTCCATAAGCATTGCGCGCTTCATTTCGTTGCCGAGTACGGCATTCCGAAATTATGTGGCCAGAGCGTTTACAGTATATGCAATTGTTCCATTGTTTACAAAGCTTCTTTGGGTGGCCTTTCTCATGACAAAAATGACACTCAATTTCAGAGGACATACCACGGTTGTGAAATTGCGGACGATGGACCGCAAAGGCCGCCGATTCTTGAGAGGCAGCAGCAAAAACAGACTCACTTTCATGAGGGCGCACATCAAGTTGCGCCTGCGTTCGGAGGCGGGTTTCTTCTCGGACGAGAAGAGGAATGATGCCATCAAACTTGAGGTCCTCCTTATTCAGCAACGTGGACCGGACAGCTTCAAATTCAGGCCTAAGTGATAACGATGTAATTGCACATGTTTGCACCCCCTAGTTCTTATCCGTTTGAGGGGCATAGTCGTGTGTTGTGGCCTATTTTACGCCGGGTTGTGCTATTTTGTCATGTTTCAGGTCCCAGGCGTCAAAGGGAAGGCTAAGCGCGAGTTTCGGGGCATTCGGAAGTCATTTCGGTGAGCTGGAGCCAAAACACGGGCAGACCCAAGGCATTACACGGCCGTGTACTGCTGGCCGTGCTTTTTATGCCGAGAGCAAATTCGGTTTGGCAATTTCAGTTGCAAACACGGGCACCAAAGCACGGTCGTGTCCAAGGCGAAGCACGGCCGTGTTTCTCCCAACTGCTGGCCGTGTAATTAAGCCTGGCCGAGGCACGGGCGGGCTCAGGCAAAGCACGGCCGTGCCCTCGACCGTGCTTTGGCCACTGATGCTTTTAAGCAGATTTTCAGCCACAACTCAAGGGGATTCGAGTTTTTGAGAGAGAGATCAGTTCCTAGAGAGAGAAAGTGACGAGCAAGAGTTCCCAAGTGCCCTAGGTTGATCTTCAACACCATTGGAGGCCAGCTTGAGCTTGGAGAAGTGCCAATCAACGTCCAGAAGCAGGAATCCATCCTTTGCAGTATGAATTCCGTGTCTGATTTTGCTTTTGCTTTCTTCTCCATGGAGTAGTTCTCCCATTCATCTGGGTATGGAGAACCCTAGATTTGTATGTTAGGCTTGGATTGTATGAACCCAAGTACTGATTCTGTGATTGATTATATTCGATTGAGGTTTTAATGATTGAATGACTTGAATCCTGATCAAATTCCTGTTGTTTCTGCTTTAACCTAGAATGAGAATATCTGCCTAGGTTAATAGAGTATCCTTGATTGAAGGTAGGGAGTTGGTGACTTTAGTCGAGGAGCCAACTCACTATTCTGTACCGGATTTACTCCAGTAGTGGAGGTTTTGTTCTTAGGGCCTCAATCTGTCGACTCCGGTGGAGGTTAGTCGCCCGCTAGAGAGTCAGATTGAGAGGGTCTGAAGACCTTTAGTCGAGACTTCAGGCTGTTTAAGAACCTTCCGCAGTATAACCATCATAGAAACTGAACTTGGTAATTACAATCCGGCTTAACTGCAGTCTAGGGGGAACCATATCCGGGTGACCTCTCTTAACTTGAATACAACAGTTTACTTGCTTTGTTTGTTTGGTAGTTTAGACTTGCATGCCAGTTTCATTGCTAGATAACAAGAATTCACTGAGTAGTCATCAGATCTAGGACCCGGGTTGATAATTAAACCCAAACCCGCTATACTACGCTTTAGGAAGTGGTTTCACTTGGCCAATTCCTGGAGTGACAGTAGAGTCGAGTCACTAAGCCTCATTAAAAACGTGAGCAGGCGGTTTTGTTGCCTCTCGAGAATGGCATCGGCTGAAGCAGGTTGGGGACGAAGCGCTGCGGTCACAATATCTTGTTCAGTCCACAGTTCTTGAGCGAGGTTGAAGTATTCAGTGATGGAGTGATCTCCTTGTTCCAGACGAGCCAAGGAAAGCTGGATTTCAAATTGGCGGGCCGGATTGACAGTAGAATAGGTCGCGGTCAGATGGCGCCACATCTGATGAGCAGTAGGGAACAGGCGGAGACTTAAACAGGTTGAGGAATCAACCGATCCCAAGAGGAAGTGTCGGACGCGTGCATCGCATTGCCGCCAGTCGGAGATTTCTTTCGCCGGAGCTGTGGCGGCCGGAGATGGAGCTGTTCCATCGAGGATACCCAGTAGACCTTTGCCTTCAATGAACACCTTGAATTGGAATTCCCAGAGTGCGAAATTGGTGGATGTCAAACGAACCGAAGGGCGATCAGATTCCATTGCTTGAGGCTCTGATACCATGACAATCAATCGGAAATAACGAAATTGAAAGAACACGAACACCAAGATTTACGTGGTATCCCTGGAGAATCCAGGACTAATCCACGGAAGAGGTAAAACTCTTCAGCTGCTAACGAGATTATGTGTATGAGTTGTGTGTCCTCAACCTACTGCTGCTAACTACATATATACAACCCTTAAGAGGGCAAATCCCCAAACCCTAAGCATCTACCCACGTCCGCCAGCATGGGCTGCATGGGTTCGTTGTCCAAGAGACTAGTCCAACTACAAGTTACATGGGCTACGTAATTAACAGGTAATTAAATGGGCTTTGACCCTGCTAACAGGAAGGGAGTGCTCCGCCGCCAATCTCTCTTTTCGGAGGTTGTCGTTTTCTTTCTTCTCCGCTACAAAATCGAGGGTTCACCACCTCTGCGAATCTAAAACCGCCATACAGACCATTTGGTCCCAAATAAATCGAGAATTCATTTCATTGTAAAATGAATTACCGTGTAGAATTCATTGTCAAATGAAATCTTGTGTTTGGTATGTCATATTCAAATCCTTAGAAATAAAATGATTGTTGTGCAGAATTCATTGTCAAATGAATTCCTGTGTTTGGTATGTCATATGTATAAGTAATTTAGTTAATAAAAGAGGATAATTATATCATTCTATTATAATTAGTAAATACTTGTGGAATTCATTTGGAAATTCTATCTCAATTCCTCGGAATTGCTATAACTAGTTCCAATTCCATGGAATTCAAAATTTAGAATTGAAAATGAATTCTTTTAAATACCAAACACAAAAATGTTTCATTTCAAAATGAATTCATCAAAACTTATGGAATTCATTTATACCAAATGGTATGATAGATCTACTTCCATGCAAAATCGAACCCACGGTTTGTACCCCTCTTCCTCTTTGTTTCCCCCCTTTTTAATCTCGGAGTTCTGATCACCCACCCGACATCGCCTCTACTTTATGGCTTGGATGGGTTAGTCGCGGTATGAAATCAAGAGGAAGAAACTAGCTTTCATCTCCGTTTACACAAATGTGATATATGTCACTTCGCCAACATTAGGAAAAAGAAAAATCAATTATTGGATAAAAGGAACATAATTTGATACGGACTACTTTTAGCTCAAACCATTCACCCCAGCCACGTCTATGAAACCTCCACCATTATCCTCTATCTCTATGCTCCCGCAGCTGGCCTCCAAGCTTTTTAAGTGCCATGGTATTCCCCATTGGTTGTGATCCAGATTTACCTCCTTGGGTTAATGGAGAACATGACCAATCCAGATGGAGCAGCAGCAGCCTGCAGAAGCAATGCCCTGAAGAACAAGGAGCTGCTGCTGTGAAGAACAAGGATGAACACTCCCAGATCATTGATATATATATAAGAACGAAACGGTGGCGTTCTAATCTCAGCAGAAGGGCGAGTCCAGAACGCCGCCGTTTCCCTTGGTCTGTTCGCAATGAAGATAAGAGGGACGACGGCATTTAGCTAGGCCAGAACAAACAGTGTAATTAGTTGATTGAGAACATGTGGCTAGCTAGGAATGGGTAGTTTAATTAGTTAGTTAGCATTTACTGTTTGTTAGCCGTTGCTTTACTTTCCTTAATGTATCTCTGTACATATATATATGGGCAATCCAAAAAAGAAAACCTCAAGCTTTTGAGCTCTCTTCACCAAACCCTAGCCGTTTTTCACTTTCTTCTTATGGGTTTGGGGAGAAAGATCAAAGATCTCTTCCCACTTCTTCTTTCAAATCTCGTAAATAATAATTTGAAACTATCAGACGGTGAATCGGCTTAACCGCATCTGTTGTTACGCAGTTAGCAGTAAAGCTGTGCATCCAATTCCAAGGCTGCTGAGATCATCCAGTTGTTGATGTGTCAATTCACTACTCTATCCATCTCTGACAGTCATATCCTCCTTCCTTGCTAACGGGATTTTTGCAACTCCCGAGGCGGTGATGCTTCACGTATTGGAAACAACAACAACTTCACCTTCAATCATATCTCTTTCCCCCGCCCCCTCTCCGAATTCTATCAACAATTACGTCACCCTCTCTAACAATTTGCAGAAAATTTTACTGACGATAACTCTCCATATATATCCATCCGTTCGCCTTTCTTCAACCAGCGAAATAAGGAAATCCTGCACACGTAGTCAAAAAATGATGGGAACCTACACTTACTCTGCACCCGCAGCAACCGCCAAGAGAAGCACGGTTGGAGGCTACGATGCCCCCGACGGCGTCGAAATTCGGGGCCGCTACGACCAGGAGTTCGCCAAGATCCTGTCCAGGGATGCCCTGCAGTTTGTCGCCGAGCTGCAGAGGGAGTTCAGGAACCGCATCAGGTTCGCTCTCGAGTGCCGCCGCCAAGCCAAGGCCAGGTACAACGACGGAGCGCTCCCGGGCTTCGATCCTGCCACCCGGGTCATCCGAGACGCCGACTGGACTTGCGCCCCTGTTCCCCCTGCCGTCGCCGACCGCCGAGTCGAGATCACCGGCCCCGTCGAGAGGAAGATGATCATCAACGCCCTCAATTCCGGAGCCAAAGTTTTCATGGTTTGCTTACTTACTTACCCATCAGGAAAATTTGATATTTAATCATAATGATAATCTGATTTTGTTGATCATCGCTCTCTCTCTGTGCGTGTGTTGCATTGCAGGCTGATTTTGAAGATGCTCTGTCCCCGACGTGGGAGAATCTGATGAGAGGGCAGGTGAATCTGAGAGATGCTGTTGATGGGACGATCAGCTTCCAGGACAATGCTAGAAACAGGGTCTACAAGCTGAATGACAAGACGGCCAAGTTGTTCGTTCGCCCCAGAGGGTGGCACTTGCCTGAATCCCACATCCTCATCGACGGCGAACCGGCCACCGGCTGCCTCGTCGACTTCGGCCTCTACTTCTACCACAACTATGCTGCCTTCCGCAGAACCCAAGGAGCTGGATTCGGCCCTTTCTTCTACCTCCCCAAAATGGAACATTCCAGGTACCAATTTTTTGGTAACTGATGTCATTCGTCGCCGCCCGCGTACGCTTTAATTCCCTCTCAAATTTGTTTGTATCGCGCGCCGGGCGCTCGCTGCAGGGAGGCAAAGATATGGAACAGCGTTTTTGAGAGGGCAGAGAAGATGGCCGGGATCGAGATGGGGAGCATCAGGGCCACCGTTCTGATCGAGACGCTTCCTGCCGTGTTCCAGATGAACGAGATCCTCTACGAGCTAAGAGACCACTCGGTCGGGCTCAATTGCGGGCGATGGGATTACATCTTCAGCTACGTGAAGACGTTCCAGTCTCACCCTGACCGCCTCCTCCCCGACAGAGTCCAAGTCGGGATGGCGCAGCACTTCATGAGGAGCTACTCCGACCTCCTCATTTCCACCTGTCACAGGCGCGGCGTCCACGCCATGGGTGGCATGGTACTGTCAATTTTGCCTGAATAGAATTTTCAATTCAAATTGAACCAAAAAAAAATCTGGGTTACTTACACTCATGTGATGTATGGTGCGTGAATCCGCGAAAAAAAAAAAAACAGGCGGCACAGATTCCAATCAGGGACGATCCGGAGGCGAACGAAGCAGCAGTGGAGCTAGTGAGGAAGGACAAGCACCGGGAGGCGAAGGCGGGCCACGACGGGACGTGGGCCGCGCATCCCGGGCTGATCCCGGCCTGCAATGAAGTCTTCACCGCAGTAATGGGCAGCTCGCCGAACCAGATCCAGTCCATGAAGCGGGAGGAAGCTTATTCCGCAATCACGGAGGAAGACCTGCTGCAGAGGCCGAGAGGGGTCCGGACCATGGAAGGGCTCCGGCTCAACACCCGGGTCGGGATCCAGTACGTCGCGGCGTGGCTGACGGGGACGGGCTCGGTGCCGCTGTACAACCTGATGGAGGACGCGGCGACGGCGGAGATCAGCAGGGTGCAGAACTGGCAGTGGATCAGGTACAATGTGGAGCTGGACGGGGATGGTTTGGGGGTGAAGGTGAACCGGGAGGTGTTTTGGAGGGTGGTGGAGGAAGAGATGGCGAGGATTGAGAAGGAAGTCGGGAAGGACAAGTTCAGGAAAGGGATGTACAAGGAGGCTTCGAAGATTTTCACCAGGCAGTGCACTGCTAAGGTCCTCGATGATTTCCTGACGCTGGATGCTTATAACAATATTGTCCTGCATTTTCCCAGGGGAGGGTCCAAGCTTTGAGGAAGTTGTACGTGGATTGGATCGATCGCGGTTGGAACGAATGGGCTTTCTTGAGTTTGCTAGCTTGTTAATTTTATTGTCTGTCTTATCGTCTCTGTATTTCATCTCTTGCAGGTTTTGGTCTCTCTGTGTCTCTTTGTGGTTGTAGTCCTGTGTTGTGTGTTTGTTTTTTTTATTTGTTCCAATAAATCGTATGATGTTCTGGACTTAAAAAGAAATATATAAGATAATAATAGTGTTAGACAAAATGAAATTGCGAAATAACAAAGAACAAATCGATTTACGTGGTATCTCTGAGTGTTCAGGACTAATTCACGGGAGAGCCTCAAGACTCTCCGAGCTACTGCTTGTATTGCTTAGTTAACCCTCAAGTTACAATTACAAGCATATATATGGCCAAACTCGGCAGCATTAGGGAAAAACTGAAACCCTAACTACACGTCCCCTGCATGGGCCAGATGCATGGGCCAGCTCACGTTCATGGGCTTTAACAGCCTCCCCCAAATTGATGCTGGTCCCGAAGCATCAATTTGCTAGACAGAAAATAATGCCGACTTGTAGTGAATGATTTCGTAAGCAGATCAGCAACCTGCTCCTCAGTAGGAATGTAGCGAAGCTGAATAACACCTGTCGAAACCAGGTCACGGATGTAATGAACATGGACTTCAATGTGCTTTATGCGATTATGAAGAACAGGGTTAACCGCAATCTGGATAGCACTCGTATTAGCAACATGGAGAACCATCGGAGATGGAACTGTAACACCCAGATCACCCAAAAGACGCCGCAACCACTCCATTTCTGACCCAACATCAGACATGGCCCTGTACTCAGCCTCCGTAGAGGACTTAGAAACCTTGTCCTGCTTTTTACATCGCCACGATATAAACGCAGAACCAAGCTGAACACACCAACCTGTGGTCGAGCGACGTGAGTCAATACAACCAGCATAGTCAGAATCCGAGTAGGCGCGCAAACAGAGATCTCCATCGGACGGCAAGAACAAACCAACATCACGAGTGCTCTGCAGATACCGGAGAATACGATGAACAGCAGCAAGATGGTCAACACGAGGATAAGCCATAAACTGACTGACAACCTGAACAACATAGGCAATATCAGGACGAGTAGCCACCAAACAAATGAGACTACCAACGATGCTCCGATAGGAGCGACCATCGGGGAGGGGAGCACCAGACTCACGTCCGAGCTTGAGATTGAGCTCAATAGGTGTCCGCACAGGAAGACAGTCCTCAAAATGATGATCCGCTAGCAGATCATTAACATACTTATGCTGGGAGAGTAAGATACCTCGATCAGAACGATGAACCTCGATACCCAAAAAATAAGAGAGATGGCGAAGTTCTTTGAGACTGAAGTGGGACCGTAAATTATCCTTCAACAATGTGATCCCATCAAGGTCATCGCCAGTGACGATCATGTCGTCCACGTAGAGAAGGAGAACAACACGGCCACGAGGTGTAGTTTGAACAAACAGGGAGGGATCATTACGACTCTGCACAAACCCAAAGCTGAGGATCGTCTGTTGAAATTTTTCAAACCACGCCCGCAGAGCCTGCTTAAGACCATAGAGAGAGCGATGCAAAAGACAGACCTGATCTGGTGAGCCATGAGGATAGCCCGGATGAATTTCCATGTAGACAACCTCCTTCAAATCGCCATGGAGAAAGACATTTTTAATGTAAAATTGAAACAAAGGCCAATTCCGAACAGCCGCCACGGCAAGAAGAGTGCGGATAGTAGGCATTTTTGCAACTGGGGCGAACGTTTCATCAAAATCCACCCCATACTCTTGAGTGAACCCCTGAGTAACTACCCTGGCCTTGAAGCTTTCCAAGCTGCCATCAGAGTGATACTTAATATTGTACAGCCAACGGCAGCCGACAACCGGAACTGAAGGAGGTGGCCGAGCCACTATGGTCCAGGTATGATTCCGATCGAGAGCAGCAAATTCCTCATTCATTGCAGAATTCGAGCGAGGATCCTTCTTGGCCTACGAGTAGCGATCGGGATAGTGATAGGGGCAACACTATGGGCAAGATACTCACCAAAGCGAACTGGAGGATGCCCGAGATTAGCACGAGCCGAGCGACGAGGAGGAATCAATGTGGCAGGAGGCTCATCGGACGAGGTGGCGGAAGATGAACCTGAACTGGACGAGGAAGGCGAGTCCAAACCAAGGCGAGGCGACGGCCCTGCTGTACCTGGGGAGGGGGGAGGCGTCTCGGGGGGAAGTGTGGTATCCACGCCATCATCATCTTCAGCAAAGCA